GAGCCCGGCGAGTCGGGGCCCAGCGTGCCGTTGCTGTGCTCGCTGCGCAGCGACGACAGCGACGTGCGCAGCGGCGAGCGCACCACCACCGCCAGCCCGTAGGGGACGCTCTGCCGCACGCCGTAGCCGTGCCGCATGCCGTTGGTGAACTGGCCCTGGTAGGTCCCTGCGGGGCGAGGAGAGCGGGTCAGTGCCCCGGGAGGGGGGGGCGGCACGCGGGGTCCCCGGCTGATCCCCCTCCCCCTGGGACACGAGGCACCCAGCCACAGCACCACCCGAGGGGGCGGACGGGGAGGTCCCAACCCCCCCCCACTGGGGACCCGGCAAGGTCATCCCAAGGTCACCGAGGGCCCTGCGTGCAGCCCCAGGACTCCAGAGGCCCACGCCTGTGCCAGCACGTGGGAAGGCGCCGGGTGGTGTGGGGATTCCCACAGCCGGGACACGCCAAGGTCCGGAGTGGGCAAGTTGGGGTGGGTGAGCGCCGAGCTGCCCCCCACAGCCGCCCCGTGCTGGCCAGCACCCCAGCGTGCTGGCCAAGGGCACATCCATGTCCGAGTACAGTTACCTGAGCACCGGGCAGGAGGCTCCGTGGATGCTACCGTTCAATGAATGTGCCCAGATTCGTGGGCAAGACATGAGGGCTTGTGCAGCGGGACTGGCTGTTGGCATTTGTGGAGGGTGTGGAGCTGTGAGGACATCTGTGTGCGCTGAGATCTCGTTGAGAAATGCATAACAGGGGATGGTGTAAGGTGCTGAGACATTAGGGGTCTTGAGCGTGCAAGGAGAGGCAGAGTTGAGAGGTCAGAGGGAAGAGCACAAAGGTCAGAGTGCAGGGTGGTAGGAGCAGCAAGGCTGTTCCAGGGATGTCAGGTTATATGCAGATGTCCAGCCATCCGAGGGGCCAAGGTAGTGTGACTGTCCAAGGTCATGAACACATAAGGAAGGGTTTGCACACTGGTGTGAGATTGTCCATGTGTGCTCGTGTTAAGATGAGGTGTACAAGACACGTGCGTGTGCATGTGTCTTCTACTGTCTGACATCAGAGCACCAGGTGTCCAAGATCCCATGGAGGTGACACTATGGATGAATGCAACATCTCCAGTTGTCACCACTCAGAGCCCATGGAGGCCCCGGAGGCCGAGTGTGTGGGGTTGTGGCATTAGTGAAATGGAGACCTGTGTGCCCAGCATTGTGCTGCATACACACAGCTGCTGGCAGCCATGGCCCTGGGGGCCTACAAGCACGGAAGCTCCCAGGAGCAACACCGTTTGTATCAGCAGCCCGCTCAAGTCCTCTGTGAAAGGCAGCACGGAGACCTCAGCCTCCAGTGCAGCCTGGGCCTTCATTGAGCTGTGTGTCTTTGGGTAAAACCCCTCTCTGCCTCAGTTTCCTCATTTGTTAGAGGTAATCTTTTTTTTTTTTTCTGAACTTGGGGCCTAGGCACTGTCCTTTGGCTTTGTCACTCACAATTGGTACTTTGCCACGGCTATACTTCCAGCTTTTTGTTCATTAATCAGAGATAAGAATCTCATGGGCTTTCCCCGCTCAGGCTGATTTTGAACCTCAGTCCTCAGATATCAACCTCCTGAGTAGCTAGGATTACAGGCAGGAGATACTGGCACTCGACAGTAACTCTTACCTCCTAGTGTTGAGGTTTAAATGAATTAATAGCTCTGAAAATACTGAAAGAAAAAAAATGTATGCGTGATATTGGGACTGTACAAAGATGTTCTAATGTGAGGTCACCTGAGTTGACACAAGGCTGCCAAAGTGACTTCACACCGCACCCCCATCCCACCACCTGGTTCTAGGGCCATCACCAACTGTGTCCCATTGTCTCTGGATGATGACATCATCTAGTGTTTTCTCACTGCCAGGAATGTCCTGCTAATCCCCTCCTCCCCACCCAAATATATTCTCAACCCTACCCTGCCGGTGGAAGCTCCTGATGCCGGCTCAGACACAGATTTTCCTTCGATATTACATAGCCACCTCCAACTATTCAGCCACAGGACCTTTGCACTTACTGTTGCCTCTGCCCGGAAAGTTCTTCTTCAGATATTTCCATGGCTTACCCTTCGTGCTCTTCAATCCTCTACTTACCTGGCCCTGGGAGCCTCAATTGACCACACAATTTAAAATGATAACCCTCATTCACTAGATTTCCCCCTTTCTTTGTTCTAGTCATCATAGCGTATCTAATACAATGTATTTTTTTTCTTCTCTTAATTGACCATCACCTTGCAGGCAAAGGAGCTCTAGAAAGGCCAGATATTTTTGCTGTCTATTTTGTTCACTGTGGTATCCTCAGAGTTTAGAATAATGCCCAAGGGGTATACATCCTAGAGCTGTTTCTTCTCTTCCTTCTGTATGGAAAATAGCTCTGTGAAAACACCTGCAGAAGTATCTTACATTCCTCTTCTACAGAGGAGACACAATTACAGCCTGGTCCGGGACAAACGATTTACTCTCCATAACAGAGGGAAGAAGTCCCCAGAGCCAAAATCCACAGAGGTGCCTTGTGCCTCTTCCAGGTCTCAGAAGAAATGGAGAAATAAGAAGTAAAGGGAAGACACATGGATAGAGCCGAGAAGACAGTGGTTGGGGAGAAAGAGAGAAGACACTTAATGCTCTGGGCTGGGGAAGTCTGTGAAATTAAACCCACTAGCCTACCTTTAGCTTAACTCTGGCATGAGATGGGCTGACATGGCCCCTTTAAACCCAAGAAAAACTCAGGTTGCAACAGACCCGGCCACCACCAGTTGGGGAGGAAATAGCCAGGCTATATTAGGAAACTTAGAAGCAAATGGCCAGAGGCACGAACACCCAGGGGAGGCTGGGAGTGACTGGGCCCTGGGAAGAAGGAAAAGCCAAGTGTGGGCTATCTCTCCAAGTTTGCCTACGACAAGACAGTCCTCCCTGGGAACAAGAGGAGCACATCTGCAGAGGAGAGAAGGCCGGGCCTGCCCACAGCTACCTGGCTGAGAAGGACCTTCCACAAAGAAGAGGAGTGCTTCCTTTCACAGTGGCCCGGCTGCCAGCACTTTCCCTCTAGTGCATCCCATTGTTCTCGAGGGAGCAGCGAAGGTCCCCAGCAGCTACACAGCCTGGCATGCCCATCCCTGACCGCTTCTCCTGCCTCTTCTTGAGTGCTTCATTGTCACACTCACCTCTGCACCTCAGGGCCTTTGCAGATGATTTTTCCTTTTGTTGGAAATCTCCTCCTGTCCCTCTTCCCCTGAACGACGGTTCAAGCTTCAGCTGAAATGCGACTTCACTTAGGAAAAGGTCTTGAGCCCTCCCCTGAGTACTGCCGGAAATGTCACCTACTTTCTCCACATTTCCCGAGGGCAGAGTAATAATGATTAGGATCATTGGTTCTATCCCTTTCTATCCTCGTCTTTGGCTTCCAAGAGGGAGGGAACAATGTCTAGTTTCTTTCCAAGATGGTCTCCAGAATCTTCCATTGTTCCCAGGCCCAAAGAAGCATTCAGTAAATAGCAAATGATTTGTGACCATCTTTTCCTGAATGATACTTTTATGCATGCGCACATTTCTTTCCTGTCATGATTCAGCCTAAAACAGCTGCTCAAAAGTGGATTACGGCAGCTTCCAGAGATTCTCTCAATAGTTGCCCTTCTAGTTGTTATAGAACAATCTGGAGTTTGGCCTTAAGTAGTTCTAAAATATACAGAAATTATTTAAGCCAGCTGAGACTCAGTTTGTCCTTCTTCAGTTTGTACTTCATCTGATTATTCATTTTCCCGCTTTGAATTTGCCAGGTATTTACCAGGGACCACGCAGTCATCATCTATATGGTAGAGATACAGCAGTGAACTAAATGGACATTATCTCCACCCACAATATGCTTAGAGTCCAGTGCCAGGGGTAGACAAAATTAATCAACCGATCACACAAAAAACAAGTGGCAGCCACAACAAAAAGTGAGAGAAGAAATGAAGGTCCAAGTCTTGAGTGGCATGTAGTGATTGATGATTAAATGAGCTGCAAGGGAAGCATCTAGACAAGTGCTAGCACACCGGAAGTGATCCAAAAGGTTGGCACACAGGAAACGCTCCATCAAGTCCTGTGAACTGGAAGTGTTCCCTGAGGGCTGGTGCATAGGAAGGGCTATATAGAAGTTGGTGAACCAGAAGTGTTCCACAAAAGCAGATGCACAGGAAGTGCTCTGTGAGGACTGATGCACCAAAACTGTTCTGTGAAGGCTGGCTTATCTTGATGGAACTGAGGTCTTGCACCTGCTTGACAAGTGATCTACCACTGAGCTGCACCTCCACCCATCAAAGGCTAGATTTGGCAGGTCAGAGCCTTTGCTCAAAAAAGCCCAGAAAGGATTAACTGTATAGATGAAAAGGAGCCAAGAAGAACAGAGAGAACCCAGGGCAAGATGGAGCCCAGCTCCAATTTTCTGCTTTGGTATGAGAGCGTATAAGAAAGCATGCTTGTGGTGCAGGTACCATTGACTCAAGAAGGTCTCAGTTTCCATCCTTAAGAAGGAGAAAAAGTTCATCTCTGTGCAGCTTCTCCCAAAATGCACAGTGCAGAATAATTTCCGGAAGCCACATCTGTAGTGTGGCCAGAGATTCTGATTTAATTGACCTGGATACTGGTTGCTTTTTGTTGTTGTTGTTGCTGTTGCTGTTGTTGTTGTTGTTGTTGCTGTTGTTGTGGGGCTTGAACTCAGGGCCTAGGTACCATCCCTGAGCTCTTTTGCTCGATACTAGCATTCTACCACTCTGGGCCACAGTACTAGCTCCAGTGTTCTGGTGGTTAATTAGAGATAAGAGTCTCACAGACTTTCCTGCCTGGGCTGGCTTTGAACTGCAATCTTCAGATCTCAGCTTCCTGAGTAAATAGGACCACAGGTATGAGCCACCAGCGCCCAACACTGGAATCCTGATCTCCCTCCACACCTCACCTCCTATTGAGTGGTGTGAACATTCATTCTCTCTCACACACACACATATGTACACGCAAGCACATATGCAGTTCCACCACAGTGTGCTGTGTTGCCCTTTCCAGAGGCCCAATGAAGGGAGCCACTTGATCTTGGGCTTTGAGTTGAATAGGCCTCTTCTTCTTTATAAGTAGCCCATGTCAAGAACTTCATTAGAGCAATGAAAAGCTAATGAATAGGAATAGGGC